TGATGGTTTTCAGGCAGAAAGTACTTCATTTTACTTTTTAAAAATACCATATTTGAAATCAGCACAAAAAAACTGAGTCAGACCATATACATTTCAAACTGCTTCTACGACTTTTATTCTTCGATCACTTTTTCGACCATCCCTGAGAGGAACCGGAGACCTAACATTGACCGGAAAATGAAAGTCATAGAAGCAGTTTGAAATGTATATGGTCTGACTCAGTTTTTTGTGCTGATTTCAAATATGGTATTTTTAAAAAGTCAAATGAACTACTTTCTGCCTGAAAACCATCAAAAAACGGGCAAATTGGCTGTCCAACACAGTAGTGATGCAAAAGTGATTCTTAAGACATTGAATTCTAAGTTGAAAATGGTGTTATCAGAAAGAACACATTAAACTACCGATTCAGTGAAAAAATCAGGCTGGTGCACCCGGAAAAACTATAACTTCAAAAGACTCGAAAAATCATTATTTGTACCAAATAACCTAATTGGGGCGGTGTTTGGCATTTATCGATAGAAAAAGATTCCAACGTCTAAGATGTTCTTATAGATTCTGACAGAGAATAAAATTCTCTATCTAATAAGCTTGTTTTTGACTAGTTTTGTTCGAACTTTGATAGACTTTCAAATCTAAAACTGATTTTTACGGCTTCCAAAGAGTACTTCCGATCTTCCTTATTATCCGAGCATTTTTGAAAAGTAATGTGATATTTGTAATCAGCACACATAGTGCTATCAAATTAGACGGACTTCTAATGAAGTGACGAAAAAAACTTTTTTTTGAACCCTGAGGGGGACCCCAGGGGTCAAAAAATTGAGTTGTGATAAAATGCAAAATAAACTTGTGAAAAATAATCAGGGATCAATGCTGATTATCGGGCTAATAAAATTAGGCCGATCTTGTTTGGGATGCTGTATCCGTAATTTGGCACACCTTCTTTTGAATTTAAATACATTAAATTAAAAATAAAATAAAATAAAAGAATTCAATCATGTCAAAAAAAATGTTCAGAATTTAATATAGATAATATACAATGATTTGATTATTTTTCTATTATAATACATAAATAATTATTTCTAGATAAGTATTGGATTTCCAACCAGGATCATTATTTCACATATTGCAGGTCCAAATCCGTCTCACTTGTCGTCGGGAACATAACATATTACTGATTTTGTTTCGAAGTTCAGGTAATGATAATATACAAACAAAAGGTAATAGAAGCGGCATATAATAGCTAAGAAATAAGATATACTCAAAAACTTCAGTCCCGGTATCAGCCGGTAAACCACACAAATATAAAAAATTCATCACTGTGAGCGGAAAAAAGAATATAATAAAAAGTAAAGATATAGATAATAATTGAATTACCAGTTTCCGATGTTTTCGCCATCGAATTAATTGATGTATACGATGCTTTTGCCATGAAACACGTACTATCAAAGCTATACTTGATGCAACAATGGTTATAGCAGGTATGATTTCATGAACTATCATTTCCCACATAAACATAGCGTAGTTGTCATAAAAACAAAGATAATAACATTGCATGGTAGAATCATCAAAATAATTTTCACAAGGTGGAAAAAAGTTAGCGATACTATAATAGATCATGCAATAAAGAAAAATGAGAATGAGAGGAAGATAATGGATAAGAAAACGTTTCTTTTTTGACATCATCCATCCACTATAAAAAATAAGTATATGTCTTTCAATAGTAGCCCAACAAAAGAGTATCATTTGAGTTATATAAAGTCCCTCATCAATAAAACTCCAAACAGCACAAAAGGCAGGAGATCTGTGCCATATACCTTCATGTCGATAATAATAAAGTATCCACGGATATAGTGTTAACAGAGAAATGAGACCAATAATAAGATCAACAAGAATAACATGATTACTGAGAGCATTACGTGATGGACGATGAAGTAGAAGATGTGAGATAACAACCACTGAACAGATAATAGAAGGTATAAGAAAAATTATATAAAGCCAAAATCCAACTGCTCTAGGTATGACATCATTGATAACAGTTACTGAACTATTAGTATTATTAAATGTACTATTCTCGTCCATCATTTGAGCAATGAATACATTAGAATAAATCTAAACTTGAAAAAAAAATAGTATAAATAAAATGTTTTCTAATGTCATTTCGATAATATCACTTTCTTTTCCTAACAATTAATAATGTCTATTCTTCAGTAATATGTCAAAAGATGTTGTCTAGCTTTTGGTTAGATCAAATATTAGATCATAAATAATATGAAGATTTTTAATGCATAAACTAACTTATAAGATTATTGATAAGTAAGTAAAGATGGAAACTTTGATTGTTAAACGAGAAACAGTACTTGAAAAAAGTCTGCAGATGAACTGTTAGAAAGAAAGAAAAGCATAGAAGCACTTTCTATATTACAAAGCAAGGCTACTGACTTTCTCGCCTCATTTACAAAGCAGTTCTCTGAAACAGTCAGCATTAAACATTTGTCCTTCAATTTTGATTTAACTAGCTTACTTCAGTTTTTCAAAACTTAAAAGAAAACCAAATGACAGTCGATGGAACAAAACTAAAGAGAGAAATATACAAAAAAAAACATCGCGTAGGTATGAATAAAGAAGCTTATAAAACATAGTTGTTCTGATTATATATCATAAAGATTAATGAGTAAAATAAAACTTACACAGCGTAAATTAAAAATAAGCCATACAAAATAATAAATGAATTTATTCTAAGATAGTATATAAAAGTTCTGGTACCAAACTCTTATTTCTTTAATAATATGTCGTTCAAGAAAATAAGGTACTCGAAATGGAAAATTAAAGCAGACGCTTTTTTTTCTATTCTCTATATATGGTTAGATAGAGCATGACAAGTTGATTATGACTATTTGCGTTTTCAATTTTTTTAGGGGAAAATTTTTATTTTTTTTTTAAATGAGCAGCTTTTAAAACAATTGAAAATTTGTTGACTATCGCTAAAATAGATTTATTTTTTTTAGGAAACAGGAGGCCCCATCTGAAAAAACTGAAAATTCTTCCCCTCAAAAAACAGATTCTAAAGAATTGAAAACACGCAGAAACGCCATCAACTCTTCATGGTCTGTTTAACTTAAGTTTTCCATTTCTAGCGCCTGATATTTTCATGCAATTGAATTGTCATGTGCTGTCTAGAAAGTTTATATAGACTTTTCAGTAAAACTGATGAAATTTTTTTGATAAAAAGTCAATATTTTATTTCAAAACATTTGAGTGATGTTTAAAATTCATAAATCTGTTATCGATTAAGTTTATTCTAATGAAAAATTCGTTGTCAAGACATATTTATTTTAAAAAGAATGACAATTATAATTGATTGTCCACAACAGATGTGAGAGGGGACCAGATTCATTTACCAATGTGATGCCGAGCACTACAGATTCAAACTTGACTCGGAAAGTTAATTTTACCTCTGAAAAAAAAAATTTTCTTTTTGCAAGCATATATAATTCTTTACTCTCTCTATTTGTTAATGAGAATGTCTCTCTGATGTGTTCTTTTTTTCTTGAAACCTGCTTATGAATCTATAAAGTAGTGCAGTTTTGTCTATTACTTAACATATGAAGAATGAACTCGTCGTTATGTCAAAGTACAAAAAATACTTGACTACTTTAATGATGTAATTGCAACTCAAAAAAAAAATTCTTTTAGGAAGCCTGATTCCGTCGAAGTTGGAATGCGGCCGTGAGTTTTGGAGTTCGGCGTAGGGATTTAATGTGTTGTCTTCTATTGGATTCAGCTTATTTATTTGCTATACTTTTTTTAATCTGTCGAAAGAAGATTACAATTGTTTGTCATGCAAATGCTCTTCCAAGCAACTAAATAAATATTAGTGATAATCTTCTTAAAAAATAAACAATGATAGAATCTACTGCGTGAAGGAGACATTAAATTGTTTTTTCTTTGAATGTGACAGAGATACTAGCAAAAGAAATATAAAAAAATGCACAATCATCTTATCTTTAAAAATGGCGTGTTTTCAAACAGATCTAATAAAAAGCTTTTATAATTTCACTGTAAAATGTTGATTAATATAATTCAAAAACATTCACATATGTTGGAAATGTGCATTGTTTGAGATTTTAATGTATCATTATAATTGCGCTATGACAGAATAGTTTAGCATAGTATATAAGCAGGGATGTCCCGATTGGGATGACTTCTCCTAATTTGAAAAATTTTCGTTTTTCCTAGTGGAGTGCCAGCGTTTTATTGTTTTTTTGCTTAGCAACTCCTAAAAAAACACTCGACCCTTCTCCGAAATCTAGTCATTTTTAGCAAAAATCTTCCAACCATTCTTCTGAGTCATTGATTCCTTTCCCCGATTCTAGTGACCTCGCAACATCTCCTATCAGCGAGTGTGGGTGTGAGCTTAGTTCTTTTCCACACGCACTCCTAAATAAAAAGAACTTTATTTAATAAATTTTATACTTACTTATGAACAATGTTATTCATATTGATCTAATGAAAAAGAATTTTATTTAATAAAAATTAGATTTACTTGTGGACGACGTTGTTCATATGAATTTAAAGGAAAAAATCTTTATTAATAAGAATTATAATTGCTTGTGGGCGATGTTATTCATAAAAATTTAAATTAAAAAGATCTTATTTAGTAAAATTTAAATTTACTTTACCACAATGTAGTTCGTATAAACTGAAATAAAAGAAAATTTATTTAATAAAATTTAGAGTTATTCGTGAAGGGCATTGTTTATAAAAATCTAAATAAACAAATTTTTTTTTAATAAAATTTAAATTCATTTTTGAACGCCATTGTTCATCACAATCTAAATAAGAAAATTTTTATTTAGTAAAATTTATGTTTATTTTTGTACGACGTTGTTCAAAATAATTAAAATAAAAAAAATGTATTTAGTAAAATTAGGATTATTCGTCGACGACGTTTTTCATATTAATCTGAATAAAAAAGTCTTCACTTATTTTAGATATCGTGCTCAACCTGTGCATCAATATAAACACGAAAGATTTTCAAAAAATCAGAAAAAATCCGTAAATCATTTAAAATTATGTTCGTAAGGAGTTTGGAGATCTGGTTTTAAGTGTGTTACGGTCTTTTATTTTCTTTCCTTTTGGCATATATACAGATGCTATATGTGTACACTTGTTCGTAAACGTTATTCAGAAAGTATGTATTTAAACTTATATGTTAACATGTATATAGAGAGAACCAGAAGAAAAGAAAACCAATTCAAGATCAAAAGAATATGGAAAGAGAATAGAGCATAATATATATATATATATATATATCGAGCACGTCTATATGCAATATCACTGTAACATACTCCCCTATTGGATGAAAAAAATGCGTCCTATCAACATTTTTTATAACAACATAACATAACAAATATAACGAGATATGTATATGGGATGGAGTGTGGGTGTGGGTGCGGATATGAATTTAGAGAAGATTTAAACGTAGACCCACACCACTCTACATCCCCAGCCACACACCCGCATGCACAAGCACGCACCCACACCTCCACCATTTCGGTGATGGCTCCCTTTGAATGGGGTTCCTAGAGTCTCAGATGGTTTGCCGAGAGGAGTGTAATACACCGTATGATTCGACACGAGAAGAGCTATCGACTTCACTACTCGTTTTCTTCCGGTAAATCTACCCATAATAATGCAGTTAGTATAAAATATTAATAATTAACATTTTGATGGTAATGGTACTCATCACATTGGGTTTCTTGAGTCTGAGAAGGTTTGTCGAATGATGTACTACACAGCATTCGAAGTGGCTTGATAGGAGCTATCGATCCCAGCTCCCATTTTCTAAGAGCAAACCTTTGGAGAAAAAAAGTTAAGAAAAATTATTAATAATTAAGATTGCTATAGAGATGGTACGCAATCCATAGAATTTTCTGAGTCTGAGAAGTTTTACCAAAAGATGTATTATACATTGTTCGATGCAGATTGATCAGGGCTGTCAGTATATCTCTCAATTTTTAGTTGGCAAATCTTCGGAGAAAAACGAAATAAAAAAATAATTTTGTTAATTAGTATTGTGATGCTGGTGGTACACAATACATCGGATTTTCTGACGCTCGAAGGTTTGCTGGAAAATATATCATACATCATTCGATGCAGCTTGGCCAGGGCTATCGATTCCACTTCTCATTGCCTCCCGACAAACCTTCCGACAGCAGAAAAAAATAATAAAAATATTAATAATTAGTTTTGTGATGGTGGTGGCACACAATATATCGGATGTTTTGAGTCTCAAAAAGTTTGTCGGGAGAGAATGGGAGCTGAATTGGATAAGTCTGATGAATCTGCATTGAATGATGTATGATACATCTTCCGGCAAACTCTCTCAGATTCTAAAAATCTGATGTATCGCGTATTACCATCATCACAATACTAATTATCAATATTTTTTATTAATTTCTTTTTGGCAAGGTTTGGCGGGAGGGAATGAGAGGTGGAATTGGTAGTCCTGATGAAGCTAAATCGAATGATGATTATCATACATTTTCGAACAAAGCTTCTGTGACTCAAAAAATGTGACGTATTGTGTAACACCACCATCACAATACGAATTATTAATATCTTTTATTAATTTGTTTGCTGTGCAATAGTTTGTCTAGACTTTTCCTGGCTGGCTGTTTGTGCAAATGTTGAGGATTTGTCGAACGCGGTGAGATGCTGTGCTGAAAAATTGCTATTTCTGAGTACGTGCGCCCTCTGCCGAATTTTTTCATTAGTTTCAGTGAAAGAACCAATGAACCGCTCACCACGATCGTGGTGATGATAGGTCGTGTTATGGTAGCTTCACATCAATACATTAGTATAAAAGTGGCATGTGTGTCTGCTTGGATTTTTACGATTTTATTTAGGTGAAACTTTAAATGCAATTTGAATGCGCTTTTTTCCTTGTTTCTCTGACTGGGATGAAATATGAAAAAGAAATAGAATTATTTTAATTTAACTTATATTTAATAAATTATAAATTAAGTGCAAATAATTTATATTAATTTTAAATTTAAATTGCTAAATTATTTAATTAAATGCATATATTAAATTGAAAGTAAATATTAATTGACATCCACACCCTGCTAATTTCTTTCTCCACCATGTTGAACATCGTGGTTTCTCAATACATGTAGCAGGCGTTATTATTTCTTTTTCGTCAGTTCCTACGAACTTTTTTGTGAGACGTATGCTTCGAGTTATGAACGACGCAGTACAATTAACGATCACTATATTTATCTCAAAAACCATCTGCTGTTGAAGACCGGAAGCTGCTGATCATACTAACCGTCGAGAAAAAGGAAACAAAGTTACAGCCACGTACATAATCATGCTCGAAAGCTCATGCATAGATTTGACTCATGTATGATGACCGATGAGCTATACGATTTTTCTGAAAACTGTAACACGTTCTCTCACTCACTTTTTATCTTATCGGTACGAATAATGACATATAGGAATCACAAAAAGTTTTGCTAGAACTGTTTAGAAATTACTAGCTCGTCTACAAGCCATGATCTTCTTCGAGATGATAAAACGTAAAATAAATGCAGAAACACCATAAAATAAAACGGTGATGAATAAATATCATTATTTTGTTGCCATTATTCCGACTCCATTCGGACATTGAAGAAAATCATCGTAGAATTCTTTATTCGGTGCCTGAAGGTCACACTGAAATGGTACCCATTGGAATGTTTTGAAGCCTGCCTCGTTGAAAACTTGCTCATAAGTCATTGGTGAAAAATGATAATTCGTAAATGTACATATTTGTTCGTTTTTATTATTGTAAAGTGTAATGAAGACTTTCGTTCCATCTGGTATTGGTCTTCCATCTAATGGAACATTAATCTCCCGACTAATCCCATATTTTCGCTTGTCATAGTTTTCGTTGTAAGTCATAATATTGGTTGTAAAACCGAGAAACTTTTTGCCTTCACCAAGTTGTGCATAGATCGTACGTGCCATCTCGAGAAGCTCATCTCGTGTACAGGCATAGCAGAGCAGATAAAAAGCGGTAACCAAATCGAATGGCTTTTCCGGAGGTGGCAGCTGTTTAGCATCGACAATCTGGTATTCTATGCCTTTCGGATCTTGAAGTTCCGCATTTCTAGCGAGTTTAATAATTTCTGAACTAATGTCTACACCAAGAATATAATCACAATTTAATTCTTTTAATTGGCGTGTATACAAACCATGGCCACATGCCAAATCGAGCACACGTTTACCCGTCAAAAATCCATGTTCGTCTAGTAGCGACTGAAGCATGCAATTACGAAGAGTATAATATTCGATCGGTAGACGCCAACTATTTTCTGTTAGTTCCACATAGTTTAAAGCAATACTGTCGTATTCTACGTTACTAGTCATTGCTTGCTGTTAATATGAATAAAGAAAAGCTGCCGTTTTATGGATGAGTGACTGGTAGAGGAGTAAGATGAAAATCGTTCGCACGTGAATTACAATTTTTTTCTTTTAATACCTGGTAAACGACAAGTCAATGGAGATAACGACCCTGCATTGGACCAAAAAATACATGGATGTGAGTGTGAGTCATTGCTTTATTTATACTCTCTACTTATTGTTATTAAAAAGTTGACAAAAAGAGAAGATCTGAATATAATTTGACGAATGATTCAATGAAAAAAAAAACTATAATTTGTTGTACAAATTTTTTTTTTCTTTCATAGAAGTATTAATAATTGTTTAATATAAATTATTTAAAGTTGTATATTGATATAGGTTATATGAGGTCACTAGTTCATACGATCTTAACTTGACCAGTCAAAAATAAAATATGTGGTCAATCAATCCCACAAACAAACTAAGATAATTCTTCTATTATGTATAGATTAACGATTCAAATTGGATGATTTTTGGTAGAAATCGACCACAAAAAACAGCTGTGAGCAATTTTCTTCGAGATCAGTTTGAAGGATATACAAGTGATTTGCATTATAGAGTACAGTGAGACATGATCGTTGGATTACAGGAAATAAGATGCTGCTTTTTTTTAAATAGTTTTTGATAGTTTAAAAGAAACAGATTGAAAATCATTCAATATCTTACAAATAGATTAAGATCAGTACGCAAAGTTTTTCAATTATAGGCGATTATGTTCTATTTTCGATTTTCCAAATGAAAATCATTTCTTATTTGTAGTTGACTTTTAGAATTTCCTTCTGGACTGAGATTAAACAACTATCATCAGATTGTTTCGGATAGTGTCTTAGTTTTGTTTCTTTTAGAAAGCGAGTTATTTACTTTTCTAATTGGTTTTTAAAAGCATTTTTTAGCCAATGTTGATTTCCATAGGAACTAGCTCTTCAGTAGGAATATATAGATAAGATTTTGCTTATTGGAATATTTCGTTCAGTAACAGGCACAGTTGTAAGCTTGTTCATAAAACTTACTAATAGTTGTCAATCTTATCCTATAAGGAAAATCTGAAGACGTATCTGGAAAGAGCGAATATCTTGTGCTACAACTTTCGTACTATAGGTTACATTGGAGAGAAAATCACTAGTGTCTATGCTTCAAAAAATAGATGTTTCCTAAGAGGGAACAAGTGAAAGTTCTGTGCTTCAGCGTACATCAAAATTATGTCAAAGTTATCCTCTAGAACCTTTTAGTTATTTCAAGTCTACTATATCAACGTGTATTGCAAACATATTTTCGGTCTCTTGTCGTTTGCTCTTCGGAATACTGGCTGTAGAATCTATTTGATTCTCTAGTAAACATTTTCGTTCATATGTATGGCACGCCATGTATCTGAAATAGATTTTGCTTGCAAGTAGAAAAGACTTCGATGAAAAGGCTTATTGATTTTGTACGTCATGCTTTTCAGAGACAGGACAATGAAATAAAATAACTTTTTTTGGATTGATATTTCTCCATATGGACATACGAGCGTAAAGGGTTAATATATTGTTCTAATGAACAGATTAGACTTCTATGATACATTTTATTGAATAGATAATATTTTTCATTAATCATAAATTGTTTGTAGAAAAGATACTGAATTTGTTTTTTTTTCTAGATTACAATTATTACAAGAAAAAGTCAAATATGGGAAGTAGATTATTTGCTTTAATAGATACAGTATATAATTCAAAACGATGAGAATTTCTTGATAGACATAGAGCTCAATGGGATAAATTAAAATTCATAATTCAACTATTAATTTAGACATATACTTATCGATCTTCATAGGAAAATGAGGCATTTTTTTTAACTTTGGTTTGAATTCATTTTTCTGTACAATGTTAGCTGTATTTATGGGATTATCACCATCAGATCATCCATGTTATTATTCAAAATCATCATATATTTGTACTCATTCAATTCCTCTTTCGCCTAGTTTGGTCTTATTGCTAAGAATAAATTTAAAATAAATTATTTGTTTTAAAATTAATTTTAGATTTAGGTTTTCGACCACAATTAGATATAGAAAAAAAAATCTTCTTTTATTTGATAAATATTCTTCAAGAAATGAAGTAGATCCTTATGTTAAAAGTCTTAATCAATATCTTAGAGTTTGTAAGTCAAAATTTATTTAATGAAAAAAATAAATATTCTTTTTTTTTTCTACGATTAGATTATTGGAAACAAGATAATGATGGATTTAGTCAAATAAAGAAATTCAAAATTTCTAATCCAGGTGATTGTATATCTCAAAACCAAAATGAATTTTTCTGATGAAAAACTATTTGTACTTGTTAAAATGAATAAAGCAAAACAAAGAAAAAAGGCTATAGATAAGAAAATAAATAATATCCTATTGAATTATAGATTGTTGATTTTATTCCAAAGCCAGGTTATTTATCACAAGATGAAAATACATTTAAATTTGCTCGATGTCGATCTAGTTCTAATAATTTTTGCTGTTCATTGTTATGGAGAAGTAATTTTTTATTTCTTGTCTATGAAGAAAAAAAATCTTGGTTGTTTGTTTTCTCTTATTTAGTATCTGGCTGATGTTGATGCTATTAAGAGTGTAACTTACATATCAGAGAATGGTCATGATAATAACCGTGGTCCACTTGATATCAAATGATTTCCTTATGAGTAAGAATATTGTTTTTTTTTATCATGGTTGACTAGAGCTTGTCGATTTATCTTGTTTTTGTAGCGAAAATTATAAAAGTCTATAAAAATTGAAAGATGCCAAAAGTATCAAGTCTTGGTAGCGTCAATGTTTATCCGAGTACTTTTGGATTTTATTTGTCATGTGATTAGATAAAACACTTACGCAAAGTTAATATCAAGTCGATAGTTTTATAAAAGGAAATTTTTTTCTTGTACTAAATGTACTAATTAATGTTATGTGTCGAGTATTTGGTGCAAATATTAATTTTGATAGAAAATCATCTCGAGCTCTAGCACGTTTTCAAATATACATAAAAGATATACCAAAAAAAAAGAATATCAAGTAGAACAGATGAAATAGGAATCAATAGTTTTTTTTATCAAATATATTCACAAATATGATCTAGGGAATCAAAAACTATATTTCTATTTGTTTGTACTCTTTTTTATCGTGCAATAATCTTAATGTAATTTTTTTCTGTCTCAATCAATGAATATTCTTTCTTTCTTTTATGTTTATCTTTATCTGTATTATATACAGTTTTTTCAAGTAAAACAAATGTGATTTATTTTAACTGTATAAGTAACAATAGCACTTTATTAGGCTGACGACTTTAATTCTAGATGAATTCTTCTTACTTTCATAAGTCATATCTTGTCATATATAATCGTCTTGAAATATATGAACTTTACTTCTTGCCTATAAAATATAAAATAACTTTCTTTGCTTTTTATTTTAAATATTATTCAAATATTAATTGATAATAATCAAACTATTTCTGAATGAGGAAAATAGTCTTTTAAATATATAAGAACTTCTGGCTTATTGTGTAAAAGAAGATAATTGATTTTGGAACAATTAATCCGTGTTGCATCTCTTGTAAAAGTGTGCGTAACTCTTTCTAAACAATCATAATCCACATGAAGATAAACGCTATTTAGTAAAGACATTTTAGTATTGACTAAAAATTGTTCGACATAATTTTCATGAGTTCGAACAAGATCAAACTGAGTAAGATAAGGATATTCTATGATTGATCGTTGTTGATTGTCGTTTTTCTAGGGCTCTCGATTATGTACAATTAATTTTTTCATCAATGGAAAAGATTGAGCAATTTGAAGAAAAAAATCGTCTTCAAAAGGACGTTCATCAAATAAGTATACTTCACGAGCGCATTTAAATAATCCACCAGGAAAATGATTTGTTATATCATTATAATATGCCAATGTATATGGATATAAATAAATATGACAATGAAATTCAGCTGCTTTTGAAAAATAATCAACAGATGAAATAATTTGATTACTTTAAAAATTTCTAAATGTATTTTGAATATCTTCATTTGATGGTAAAGTAACTTGGTTATTAAGGGGAACAATTAAACGAATATTAAAGGTGAATTTCTTTAATCTTGTCATACAATTGATAATATTCTTTTTTTAAAAAGCACCATCAATAATGGGCCCATGAAAATTGAGAAAATACAGACTAAGTTGTTCTAAATTTGACATTCTATTTAAAAGTAGGGCAAGAAATGTATTGTAGGCCAACATCATCCAATTCTGGATACGTGAAAAGCGTTTTAAATTGGCCAGTTTCTTGTAGAAAACGAAAGAACGGACAGTTAATATTCGTAAGAATATGTTTAATTCATTCTAAGAAAAAAGGTTTTAATGAGTAACTTACTTCATCATTGATTGTTGGCAACATAGGAATCAAAGAACAAATGAGAACACAGAACGTATGAAGTTAACTGAAACGATTATCGAGTAAATAAAAGCATTCATTGCAAGAGTCTACTACGACATGCAATTCTAATAGAGATGAAGAGAAAACAAGTGGAGATGATATATTAAATGTTAATTGTTGATAACCAGAAGATGAACCAAAATTTAAATGCTGTAAATTACTGAACATAGCAAAGATCTGTGTAAATATAAATATATTTATATCTTTGCCTGGACATCTTGGTTCTTTACATTTATTAATATCAATAACAAGTGATAAGATTTGGTTTTTGAAGACACGAATTAAAAAACTTCGATCTAAATAAACATTAGGAATTTCTATTAAATTACTTATTAGTTAACTTAAAATACTCTATTCTTTTTTTCTTATTAATAAATCAGCTTTATATGATCATCATTTCAATTCTTTAATAGATTATACTGTGTCGTCAATGATGTTTTTTTTTAATCTTAATCATTCATTTATACGAAATACTTTCTACTTTGAATATCAAAGAATTTTAATTGAAGATATTATACAAAAATAATATTGATACTTTCTTACAATTGATGTCTTTATTTTGAATTTTCTGAAAAATTCATTTGCATCGATGAATATCAGTAGCAAAACTATTTTATGAAAAATATCCGTTATAATCAAATTCTGATTATATAAAGTATTTATTCAGATAAATTATTTTTATATTTTTCTCGATTATAAATCATTGAAAGAATCGAAGAAAATATCTTACCAGGAAAGAGATCTCTTGCTGTTTATGATGCAAGTGATTATAAACTAAGCCCATGCAAATTAGGATAATTTGTTGAAAGAAGAATATTCTCCATAGCTGACGATTCAAAATCGAGCCATTCGATTTTATCATGAATTATAGGTAAAATTTCAAGACAAAATCGATCAAGTATTGTATCAATATATTGATATGATAAATCATTAGAGGATGGAGGCATCAATGTTAAAGATTTTGTAAAAATTGAATCACTCACAATTGTATTAAGTCATTTATTAATATCTATTAAAGAATAGAGTATTTCTGTATTGTGCAATTTTCTCAGAATAAGCATAAGAATTGCATCAGGTAAGTCATTCAATTGAATTAATGAATATTCCATGTTTGTGTTCACTGATGTCCTTTTGCTCTTACTTATAAATATAGATATACTCATGCCTTTTATTCGACTGATGCCGTTAATGAAAATAATGATATATTTTTGTATAATCTAAATTGACGATGAATGAATGGATAAACGATCGAACGTTATTCTTGTGGGTGTGGGGTGTGTGAGTGTATTTTATTTTCTTCGCCCACACTCCCACCTACACCCATACCACACCCGCACTTGAAATGATCATATTCAGTTAATATACTATATACTATAATAACTAAACGTGAAAGATTATTTAAATTCTCAAACCATGCTAAGCTTTTTTTCTATTTTATGATAAAAATGTAACAGAAATGTAAAATCTCGAACAATTCATTTTTCATTAGTACACAGAGTTTTAAAACATGAATCGTTTAACGTTCAAATTACTTCGTATTAACGGCTGCAACTGAGTACCTGCAAAATGGTGTCGGTACCGCGGGACTGAAAAGGCGACTTAAAGCTTTTCAAGCTGCCGCCAGTGCATTTTTTTTATCAAGGACTAGACAATACATTTTCATGCTTATTATTTTGTTGTGACTACGAATCATCACAATCGACGGTTTTTATTTACGATTCCGATAAAGATCTTTTACTGATCTCGATTCTCATTCCAAGAATCAAGATTTTTCGATGAATTGTATAGATTTTTAAATAGGTGAACTGATACAGTGCACATAAATTTGGTTTAATAGCAATTTAACCATTCTTTTGAATGCACATTTTTTTTGTCGTTATTTTCCTATTCTTACTATGAACTCTTTAGTGTTGTTACTATTATACTTCTGTATGTTTCAGAAAACCACTTTATTGTCATTTTTTATTAGAAGCATAATTGTGAAAAATTAAGCTTAACGTTGAAAAAAATTGCTTGTTTAAAAAGAAATCCCTCATCAGAAACAATACACACTTTTAACCGGAACTAGAATCAGCATCAAAAAGGAAGTAATTTTGTAGATCCCTAACTGTAACACAATGAGTATAGTTAAAGTCAGAGATAGAAAACGAACTCATACATTAATACAGAAAGAAAAGAAATATAATGCAATTTTTTATATTCAATTCGTTTATTTATTCTACATGGAAATGAGAATTTCATGCTTTTTGTCAGATAAGTACTGATTAAAACTTGAATTATGAAATGGTACTGTGTATGATCTTATAATTTACTATTCTTATGATTTGATTATTTCTCTTATGATCATATGATTTTGTAATGATACTACTACGGTTATATCAAAAGTAATGGAAACAATCTGGTTGACCATGGCCAGAAGAAAAGGTATACAATTTCTGTTTCAACATAGGATGAATGAATTAAATAGGGTGAGCATGTTGATGGGGTGTAGGGATAGATGCGGATCTTCTCTTCATCGACATCCACACGTAAACTCAATAAATTATCATTTAAAAAATCTCGTTGAATGTCAGAATTGCGAAAAGAAGACAATTATTGAATGCTTTCTTGCTAAAATTAGAGAAATATGATTGAGTCACCACAGACAAATAATATTGGTATCTTTGTATGCTTTGATGTTTATTCAAAAGGATAAATGCGATTCATTGTTCTCTTTGATACTTTCACACAATCAACTATAATACACTTCAATTGAGGATGCATAGATAAAACAAATACAGTAATCTACGACTGACAAAAAATAGTTTTGATCTACATAAAAATTTATTCCTTGAAACATAGTACAGAAGTACGAAAAGCTAAATTAGATCGCTTCGATGGGTTATAGGGAGAGATACATGATACATAAATGCCGAGTATTCAATATTTTGCGTCGAAAATATTTTTAAGAAAAGCAAATAGTCACTAGAGATTTCTTCAGAAGTCATAGCTGATACATCAAATCTGATAATAAACGTGAAAAAAATGAAGGATATTTTCAATCAATCTTAGTTCAGGGATTTTACATCAAAATAAAAAGCACATCACTCAACTCTTCTTGATCTCTTAATGATTATTTTCTGCATTACATATTGGTATTATCTGAAGATCTATTGATTGATTTGAAAATGTTTCTTACATATAAACGAAACAAAACACTTTGATGTTCTAAAAACGAAGTAATTATTGCATTTTTGAAAGCAAAACTTACCAGTCTCTCAAATTGTTTTACAATATTTTCGATGTTTCCTTTTGTTCCTGGCATCTATTAAAATAGAAGCAAGGCTACATCACAAACAAAGAAAGGTGATTGCATGAACAGAGAATCAAGAAGGATGTAGTTGAGTATAGGTGTACTTCTTATTATCATATCTTTATTAATCACACATTCACATCCACAATTATGCACTCATAACCACATCTCGCATAGGAAACATCATCAACTGTATTTTGAAAAATACAATTGATATTCTACAATGAATCTATGCTGTGATAAAGTAAAACAAAAAATGGATGCAAAAATTTTATCCACTCTTAAATCACGTACGACCATTTTCGACTAGCTCATTGGATGTTGTCAATGAAATTTTTGTTCCTGTGTTTACCAACCAATTCATTGCATTCAAACTGCTTCTGAGTGTTGATAAAAGGAATGAAAAAAAAAAGAGAATATGCTGACATAATGATTTTTATGGCACACAGAAACGTGAGTAACAAGGTAAATGTTATGTGTGCAAAGAATGACGATCTCACATTCGCACGCGTTTTTTATTCGTGATTACTTTGTTTTCATCGCTACGCGTATACAGGTAAGATTATGCCTAACTACAATACTTTCATATTCTACAAGACACTGATAATCATGTTCTATCAGCAGAGATGGCATCAGGATTGGGATTAAGTCAGTGTTCGATATGCCAGAAGAATGCAGGAAAATGTATGTGTGACGGTTGTAAAAACTACTATTGCGTCAAACATTTTAATCAGCATCGTCAACAACTCTCGATGGACTTCGATGATAAAGTTGTGAGAACTCATGATGAACTTATGGAACAAATGGATAGAGCAAATCAATCGAAAGCTGCTGCTTCAGAACTTTTTGATGAAATTGATCGATGGGAGATTGTAACAATCGATAAAGTTTATAAAGCAGCTGAACAAGCTCGTCATCAACTTACTCAACTGCTCACTCGAGATAAAGATGCAATAACAAACGATTTTGAAATAATGACAAAAGAAATTCGAAATCGACGAGACGAAGACGATTTTGATGAAAATGATATCGAACGACTTCGACAAAAAATAAATCAAATACAAATATCATTACAAGAATTTATTCGGCCAACAAAAACAAAAGCGATAATAGTGACAAACGAACAAATTGATTGGAATCGATTGATTTACGTCGAGAAAGAAGACGAAAGAATCGGTGAGTGTATTGAAAAAAACATTTTGATCGAAAATTTGAGCGAGTTGAATTAGTAAGAAAACTTAACGAAGTTTTGTCTAGGGATGCACTAGTATGGTCGGGCTGGATACTCACTCGGACCGGGGTACCAGTCGGACTATATACAAAGTGTTACTGACCATTAAATAAATTTACTGGTAGACCAGACAGACCGTTCTACGAGATACTGATCGGACTAGGTATCCAGTCATCTAGCCGTTACTAATGCATCCCTAGTTTTGTCTCGTTTAAGAGTTCAACTTGTTAAATATGGATAGATGTTCGCAAAATTCGAATAATATAGAGAGAAATTTTTTATCGAAGTGTAGTGCATTGGAAATCTGTGGAACTATTTCTAATTTCATTTAACTGAGTTTTCTATCGTGTCGAATAACAGTGAATATCCGATCTTCAACATCTAAAATGAAACAGTCTACATATTCCCAGTCAAATGTTAAAGTGTAAAAAATGCGTGTATTTGCAAGTAACTTTTTAAAACATGCGTTTACTTGCAAATATTTTTTAATTCGTCTGATCTCATGCAGGATCTTGCAAGACATTTGAAATGTTTGCAATTTTAGCGTATAAATGCAGATCAATAATACATGCATGAAAATACAACTTTTTAATTTTTTTAGTGAGTCATGCGAGATCATGCATGACTCTGATGTTTGCAGATACCTGCATATATTGATCTTTCATGTTCATGCAAGACATATGACTCGCGTGAAAATACCAAAGTATTAGTTACAGCTACCTGTGATATGATTAGATCATATCCAAATCGTGCATGTCAGTGCAAAATTGTCCTGTTTACGAAAGTGAATAGTGAAGCGATTCTGCGTTGACATGCAAATTTTTCCTATTTTGTAGTATACATGCTGCCCATGAAAGCATTTAGTTTTTTCATCGATAAGTAATTATTTATTTCTCATCAAAATAGAATCGCTCTTCTATAACCGTACACTATATTAGCTAAAAAAAACCTTGTTCACTTTTTAAAACTCTTCAGAGCTGTTAGCATTCATGTACGCGCGTGTCCGAAAGTTATCGAACGATCATCATATCTGCCACTTTTCATTGCATTTCTAATGTAAGAAAATGATCGAATGGTGAAGAAGTTCATCTTATAAAACAAAGTATGTATATTCGAATCTTATCTTGGGAAAGAAACGCCTGCGTGTGCTCGCGATTATAGTTTATCCTGTGACGCGTTCACACGCGTGTCATGTCATAACGATTCATGCATGTACATGTACCAGTATTATTGTGTCTACACGAGTTTTTCAAGCTTTCGTGTTTGACTGAGTTGAACCAAACTTAAGTTCAATATTGAAAACTAAATAGTTGAGTTTGCTTAAGAGTGTTCTTAATTGTTGTAAAAATTGTTGGATATGATTAAGACAAAAGTAGTTAAAAATCAAATCATTTATGACGAAATCATATTACTATTAGAAAATAATTAGCGCTCGTCAGTTTACCTCGCTTGATTCTAGACTGAATACTCAGCCGTTTCTGTATAATATACTGCTTTACAATTCACGACAACACTAGTTTCCAGCATTTGAAAAAGGATGGATGCAAGTGTGAATGCTGATAGCTGCGGTAGTGTCGCTGTGCATGAGTGTATGCAAGTCCATGTGATCCACTTTGTCATGGATTCATCCAATCACATTGATATCCACATATCAATAACCAACCGAAATCCACATCGCCCACACTAACGCAATATCACTCATATCATAACTCTATCACAGTTTCTATAAGAGAATCGAGTTTCTCACTATCGTTTTCTTTTTTCAAATCGGTTGTTAGTGGGTGTGGATTTAATTCGTCAGAGTACCGACACCCACCCATGTCCACATCAACACCCACACGCACAGCCACACCCTGTATGCTTTTGCAATCGATGATTTTATTTACATATTCTGTTTTGCTTCTATTGATAGAGGAATCAAGTCGCCCATATAGATATGACCAAGATTCTTACAGGTTTCGTATGAAGAAACAATGTTTTGTGAAACATTAATCATCCTTTGCTTTGCTTCTTGAAAGGGATGATACTGGTCATCGCGAAGAGTTTGAACATCTAGATGATTCGCATTACGATGTACCAGGAAGCGCTTCAAATCATCAGTCTGAAAAGTCGAAATGTCGTTATGGATCAGATTGCCATCGGTATGTTAACTATTTTTCTGAAATTGTTTTATAGATTTGCATAAACAATAAATGTTGAGTACCGAAAGCCAGGAGCAAATGACAACTGTTTTATTGTTTGACTCTAACTCTTCTAAGTAGTTTTAACAAAGCATAAGCTCATCCGATGAACACAATCTGAATAGCGTTAATAATACAAAATTCAAAATGAATCTTGCGAATATGGAAAAAAGATTTTTTTCATGAAAGCTTGATCATAATTTGTTTTCTTTCTTGAAGGACGAATCCCGATCATTTCAATAAATATGCGCATCCAAGTGACTTAAATTACTATGTGATGGGTGGCAGCAGTCACGGATATCCTACAAAGCCGGACTGTCGCTACGGAGCAGTCTGTTACAAGTATGTTTAAGTTCTATTGAATTATTGTTCCTTCTTTTATTTGACACAGAAGCTTTCAGAATAATCTATTCGATTACAACATAGAACATGAAGAAGTTAGTTCAAAGATTGATAAAAAATCGTTCATCATTAAAATACTCTTTTGTCTCTCTTATGAACTTGCAAGACATCAAGAGAAAAACGTCTGTGAGAAGCTATAGAATCTTAGAGGCATCTTAATTCCGTCAAAGACTTTCAATTGTGTCAGTATAGTTCATGAAAGATATGGAAACGAAAGTTATTCATATTTATCGATACGTTCTTCAACACTTATTAGTAACTGTGTTTTATAAGATGAATTCGAAGAACAGATAATTAGGAAAGTACAATAGCTGTTTTGAACTTATCTACCTTTAATAAATCATGATTCCTCCGATGAATAGCATCTCGATTAGGTACATGTTTCATGAACTTTAGAAAAAAAAACAGTAATAGATAGCAACGACTTTTCTCAATATTTAAAAAAGGCTTGTTGCCATTTTGCTTTCTTTCTTCCTTTAAGTATGAATCCTGGTCATCGCCAACGGTTTACTCATCCGAGTGGTTAAAAACACTATGAAATGGGGAATAACCGATCTGAAAAGTCAAAATGTCGTTACATAGCTAACTGTTACAACTATATTGAATTTTCATTAAACTAATATTTACTATCTTCACACAAAATGAATGTTGCGAAAAAAATTGAAAACATGACACCAATCTGAAAATTGAGTTTGAGCATATCGACAGTGTGTGGGTGGGTATATGTGCCGGTGTGAGGTGTTGGTGTGGGTTTAATGTGTTCAATGATCCACACCCACACCCTCGAGATAAATTTTACGCGAACTGGCTCGAAAAATATCAATTTAGCAATATTCCGGTTCAACTCATCAAGTAAAGCTGCATAGGATTATCTTGTTATAACAAGAGTAGAAAAGAAAAACTATCAAATGAGTTCCTTTTGTTATTTGGTGAATACTTTATCAACAATGTTTCTCTAATATTTAACATTATGTTTATGCAAAGCGAGAAAGAAATCTGCACTGTAGGGTATGGCTGGGGTGTGGGTGTGGGTGTGAGTGTGGGTGTGGGTGTGAGTGTGGGTGTGGGTGTGAGTGTGGGTGTGGGTGTGAGTGTGGGTGTGGGTGTGTGTGTGTGAGTCATGATGGTTTTTTCACCCACACCCATACCCACACCCACATCCTCACACATCCACACCACACTACACCCACACCCACACCCCAGCCATACCCTACAGTGCAGA